TTCCTTGAACCTGATAGAATTCTGTTCTGTGTTCAACACTTGATACACAGTCCCTGAATATAAGGTAATGTAGTAGCAGGTGTGATGGATTGACCTCAGTGAGCAGCTGAACACCAACCCCCACCCCTCCATCTCTCCAGTGGGGAGAAAGTAGAAGGAAGGTGGAAAGTCTTGTGGCTCAAAATCATGGCAGTTTAATAAGGAAGGCAAAACCTGTGCATACAAATGAAAAAAAGAGGATTTCATTCACTAGTTCCCATCAGCAGGTGGATTTCAGCTATGTCATGGAAAGCAGGGTCTCAGCTTGTTAATGGTTGTTTGCAAAAGCAGGTGCCATAACCACTATTGCCCCCCTTCCTCCTCTGTCTTTTCCCCAGCTTTTGTTCTGCAAAATTGCATAATGCCATAGGGTTTGGGATGTCTGTTTGGTCAATTGGTGTCTGACTGTGACCCCTCCTGGCCTCTTGCCTACTCCCTGCCTACTAGGTGGGAATGGGAAAGAAATCCTTGAATTTGTGCAATCACTGTCCAGCTGCAGCATTACTGTTTTCAGCACTGTTTTGGTCTCAAATCCAAAGCACATCTCCATAGGGGCTGCTATGGAGCAAGGTAACTCTATCCCAGCCAGGCTCAGTGCATTAGGAAATGTCACTTGGTATTTTCCATTTAACAGGCAATAGCCAAGACTCCAAATTAATTTTTGTGAAGCCATATGACAGCTCAAATCCATCTTTCTGTTTAGCTCTTAAAAAAAACTTGCACTTGTGCTGTGTTTAAATTTCAAATCAAAATTAATCACTCCTTTTTATTAAGGCAACTGAATTACAGTTGCCAGTAAGACTAACAATGCACAATAAACCTTGTGGGCTTAAAAATCTAACTTAGTTATTTTAAGGGTTACTTAAATTATGAATGATCTTACACATTCAAAATCTTGTCTTGATTTCTCTGGAAGATAGCACACACCTTCACAGCCACCTGTTAAGAACTGAAAAGGAAATTTAAATCCAGCCAGTAGATTGTATATATAAATATAGAAAAGAAAGTTCAAAGTGAAGAAAAAAAAAATTCAGTTCTCATCTTGGAAGCAGCAATCTGGTTTAGGATTGATGAAGTTTTTTCCTTTGTTCAACCAGGCAGTGTTTCAGGGACTTCACAGTACTGTAGTATATAGTCTAATATAAATATTGGTCATTTTCAGTCCTATGGCTTTTTTCCTTAAATTAACTTCAGCAAAGGACAAAAGAGGCTGAAGGTATTTTTAACCAGATACCTACATCTTAAATGACTGAAGAAATGACCTGAAGTGTATTTTTGTATTGGAGTGGTGCAGCAAGCTGTTGAAGAGCAGCTCAGCTCTTCTAGTAAAAAATGTGTATTCAAATGGCTTTCAAAAGAAAAAAATTACAATTCTATTAAAGCTTATGTCAAACATGACATAAGTATTTCATTTTATTATTTGCTGATTGAAGTTGCATTGTATAATGTAGTTCTTGATAGGTAAGGTAGCGTTACTACTGACACGTAGAGGTGTTTTAAATAGTGTAAAATAGCAGTAACCAAGATTCTTAATGTCCACTCTTCATTTCTGAAGCCAAATGTACATCTTCTGAATTGGCTACCAAAATAAATACAGCAGATAAACCAGGTTACTCTTGTAAATTTTTTCTGAAGAAAACCAAATATATCTTTAAGGACGCAGAAGACAAAGCCTCTGACTATTTTGATTAGTGCAAAATATTTCCTGTATACAGAAAAAAGGATCCTGACTTCATACAGAATTGGCAAAACTGTAAATTTTTTATTGAATCAGTCCAAATTATCTTTTAATGTTTCTCACACAGGAAAGTTTGCAGACTAAGCTTTAGTTAACTGGTTAAGTCAAGCACAGTTGGCTTGATGCCCACACAGAAAACATTTTCTAACTTCTTTTGCCTAGTGCTTAACTGGGCCTGTAATCGATTTGTATTAATTAAAACATTTTTCATTTGAAATGTTTAATATTGCATATTAGTCAGAATTCAGTTCAGAAGCTACACATGAATATTTTTGTCTGGCCTCAGGTTTGCCTGTTATTCCACTGTTTAATTTGTTTCTTTATTGCTTAAATATATTTGATTTCCCCAATTTATTTTATTAGTAAGTACAAATTAATGAAATCTGAGCTTCTGGGAAAATATAAAACTGCTTTTTTCTAGGAGAAAACCAGCTAATTCACAAGCTGTATTATAATCTTTCTTTTTGTTAACAAAGTTTTAAGTGTGATATTTTAACTACAAAGTTAATGATCTCTGTCTTAATTCATTAAAGTAGACTTCAGTCATGTCAAGTCCTCCTTCCAGTCTTATCTCAATAATGTTGAACTTGCCTGTCTGGGATCTCACAGCTGAGAAAGAACCTGAAGAACAACACGAAACTCATGTGATGTGTAGTTGTACAAACTCATTTGTGGTAAAAAGTTCATAGTGATTGTGTAAACACCTTATAGGGATAAAACCATGGACAGCATATAGAAACTACAGATAAACACCTGCTGTCCCTGTAGTAACCACATCAAAACAGGCTTGGCTTTTTAGCAGGCACATCCATGGGTTATTGTTTGGGGAAAAAAATGGAGAAGCTGTTGGGCATACAAGACTTTGTCTTACCATTTTGTTTCTAAATCATCATGGCTACATTAAGCAATTGCATAAACTGAGGTACTTGATCTGCAGTGGAGTGGCTAAGGGTTTTCTTTTATTAAGTTTCTTCTGGTATACTACTTTAGCTGAAATTTGATTAATAGGTTGAGGCAGATAACCTGCAAAACTCTATCTTGAAGCATTAAATCTAAAAGTAGTATAAATTTTAAGTGGAATCTTCCTGTAATATAAATCTACCAACTGTAAGGGGCAGTGTATTATGCATCTGTAGTGTTTTATGGGGGAAAATATAAAGCACAGATTAATAGGTTGCTAGTTGTTGAACTATTTAAGACACACATTACAAACAGTCTGACCATTGTTATCTGACAAGTAGTAGTTTTAATGTAGAACTGCCACTTGTGTCAGTTTTACTGAGTAACTGTTAGATCTCTTGACTCCCAAAATCTAATTTAATGATAGTAGCACTGATTTTGAAAACCGCCAATCATGTTAATGATTTTGGTCTTAAAGGTCAGGGAGTGGACATCAAATGGTCTAACTTTTTGAGATCTCGAACAAGATAAATTAAAAGCAAAGTGATTACCCAAAATACAGACAATATTTCTACTAGCAGGAGGAATGCTTCTTGCAACCAATCCAGAGATCTGTGAATGTGTCTTGGGGTTTCAAATATCAGTTTGAAACCCCAAGTTGAAAGCTGAAAGGATTTTTCCTGCTTCCTTATTTTGGCTGTTGCTGAACAGTGCTTGCACAGTATCAGGGATTTTCTCGTTTCTGTTCTGCTCCCCAGAGTTGAGTGGGGAGCAGAGAGTTGAGAGTCACCACCCCAACTAGTGATGGTTGGGCAAGAAATTTGGAGGAGATGCAGCTGGGACATCTGCTGACTCTAACTGACCACTCCATGCCATGTGAGGATGTGCTCAGCAATAAGTGCTCAAGGAAAGGAAGAGGAAGAAATTATGTTATTGGTTATGGTGGTGTCATCCAAAACAAGTCTTGTGTGTACTGAGGCACAGCTTTCTTACAAAGTGGTTGGACAGCTGCCTGCCTGCCCACAGGAAGTAGTGAAGAAATCCTTTCTTTACCCTTTTTTTCCCACCTTTGTGTGTGATTTTTGCTTCACTTATTAAAACTGTCATCTCAGTCTGCAAGTCTGCTCACCTTCCTTCTCTTTTCTCCCTGACCTGTTGAAGAGAGAGTGAGTGAGCAGCTCTGTGGGTGTTTGGCTGGGGTCAAACCAATGCAGCCCTAAGCTAAAGATCGAGAGAGGGAAGAATAAAATTCTTTTGTAGGTCCCAGGAAAGTGTTCTTACAATATATTGATTTTGAAATGCAGAAGTTGTGTTAGTGGTGTAGATGCATAACTATCATACAAAAGCAGAAAATAATTGCTTGAAATGTTTTCAGACTCTTCAATGTGTTTTCTTGCTTTTGGTGGTTAATTATTTAGTCTTTGAGCTCAGAACTAGATGGACTTTAAAGCGGTGCCTTTAACAGTGGTGATGTACAGGACTGGAATAAAATTATATAAATGTGTTTAATTAGAGACTGCATAGTAACTTCAAGTGAAACATTCCAAGTGTCACTGCAATAATTCAGGCCAACATACTTTAACTCTGTCTCAACATGCTGGCACAGCTGAGAAATGATGGAAAGGTTCATAAATCAACCTGATTCTGTGAGAAAATCCATCAGTTTCTGAATGGCAACTCATACTTTAGTTTAGGAATCAAGGGTACTGAACATACTCATTTTTCTACCATTCTTAGTCATGGATATTTTTATCAGTTGATTTTGCAAATTGGTATAATCATTCCCTAAGACCTTGCATGCTGCTGTTCTAGAGTCAGTGCTGTATGAGGTATTAAAGGATTTGTTGCATTAATATAAGATTGCCCTGCATTTAATTTCAAGTTAAGTACAGATGCATGTCTTAAGAAGCTTTTAATTGGAGAAAAATTAGCAACTTCTATTGATGTCTGCTGATGCTTGCATCTGAGGCA